GTGGGGAAACAAGGGTAGTCAAAGATAAAAATAAAACCAATATTGCAAACTAGAAATACCGCAGGAAATAGCAAACAAAGGCCCTCCACTACAATAGTGAGGATATTTACCAAAAACAGCGGGGTGGGAGTCCATTTTTTGGGTGTAGGGAGGATAGAAGTAAACGGGAAACATGCACCAACGGGAAAAATACAGTCACAAAACCCCCAAAGGCAAAGGGGGAAAACCAAGCCTGTGCACATACTTGCACTTGGTATCTGTTTGGGGGGGGGCATGGGGGAAAACTGGAAAAAAGATGGGAGGGTTTGCAAACTAAAAACCCCTAAAAATGCCATCCCCATATGAAAAACGGGAAAAATGAAAAACCCCCTTCCCTGTAAGTTTTTCACCCCTAATGTGAAACCTCTTCAGAACGGGGAAAGACGTGCTAAAACTTAAAATTTCCCCCGGGCCCCTACCATCTAAAGGGGGGAAAAAAGGACACAAAAAATCCAGGCCCTGGGAAAACCCGGGGAGCCACAGCCACTCAAGAGGGAGAGGTTTTTTTTTGTGCCAGGAAGGGAAAAAAAAATGGGGAAATGGGAAAAAAACGTACAACCCAAAACCCAGTCCAAATTTCCCGGAGTGGAACCACAGTCGAGGCCTCCACTCCAAACCCAAAAGATACATACAAAAAGCCAAAAAAAAATTTTCCCCCCCGTACCCCAAAAATACCACCGTCCGATAACATTCTTCTTTGCAAATATAAGGGTTTTAAACCAGGAAAAAACAACAAAATACCCTTTCATCCGTGGGCTGCTTGCAGAGGCAAAGGGGAATGTTTTGCGGCTTTCACTGAGACCCCCAAAAAAGGATCACTTGGACAAGAAATTGGATCCCCCCGGGGGGTTTCAACCCCATACAGATGTGACAGAGGGGAACAAGGGAAAAGGGGGGGGGGTTGGGCCCGTACATTGCGAGTCCACTTTTTTTGCACAAAAAAACTGCTTAATCCCAAATTTGGGGTGGAAATTTTTGCAAATAAAGGGTCAGAAAAAAAAACCTAGTCATTGTGGTTTGTCTAAAGCCTCCGGGTTTCAAAATCCCAGCAATTTCCCGGAACAGGCTGTTTAAAAAAATTTACCCTGTTTGGAAAAAATTCCAGCCCTGCACCCAACTCTTGTCCTGGGGGGTTTAACTTTTAAAGGGAAACCCAAAAGGGGAAAAGGCAAATAAAATTGTTTCAAATAAGAACCCCCCCCCCAAGGCAGCCTTTTGATGAAAACTAACCCCCACACGACTTTTTTAAAACTCTGCCCCAAAATTCAATTTAAACCAGCAAATAATAGAGTACTAGATTTGGGGAAAAACACTAACCCCTTTTTTCACTAAAAAATGATGAACTATAAGAAAAGTCCCATATTTAAAAAAAAAAAATACTCAGATCACAAAAATAAATTTAGGTTCAGGCATGTATCGTGGGGGCCCCGACCGACATAAAGAGGGTAGTCACGAGGGGAAACATTCCCAAATTCAACTTCAATAACCCAAAAAAATAAAGGGGACCAAGGGTTTAAAACCCAAATCCCAACGATTTTAATCGGGGAAAATATACTAACAAAACAACCCCAAAAATTTGCTAGAACAGTTTTAAATCGGTGGCAAATTTGAAAGTTCACAAGGCTTTATTCCTCTAAAAAAAAGGAGGAGTAGATGTAAAAATAGAGAGACAGGCGCTCCCTTTACAGGCGACGGAAAAGAATAAAAAGCTGCTTTAAAAAAGGGAATAAATCTGAAATGCGTAGGGGGACCTGGGCAAAAAAATAGCAAGCATCGAACTTAAGCTAAAAAATCCTTTAGGATCAGGGGGGTCGCGGGAAAGAACTAAAAGCCATAAAAAAATCCAAAAAAAACCCAAAAATATTTCTTCTCCTATTGCCAAATCAAAAAACGAGAACAAAAGTCCAGTAATTTTTCCCCTATTAAAAAAAGATGGGTCCTACCCCCAGATGACAGAAAAGAAAAAAGAGTGAGCTACCAAGGCCCCCAAAATACTCCAGTTTTTTTGCAAGCCCCTAACCAGACTGGGGGTCGAAGGGTCAAAATGAATTTTTTTTGAAAGCCACAAAAATTTTATTTAAAAACAAGCCTATCCCATGTTATCCTGACCCAAATGACTTCGAACAGGGGGATAAAGACATGCCCATCACTCTGCCCCAGGGCCAAATCATGGGAAAAATGTGTTCATCAAGAACTGCAAGAAGCCCCCCATCACACCTTTTCCATCCAGGAGAGGGGCATGGGGCACCGGGGGCCCCGTTACTAAAAAAAAAAACAGGGCCCTAGCCCCCCTCCACAAAGGGGGCAGTTTTAAAACAAAAAGCAAAGAACTACAACCAAAAAGCACTAACATCCCCTTACATAAAATCTTTGAAAGGGTCCTAAGAAAACAAAGATCACCACCCATCTAGAAAACCCCTCAGTTAAAACCCCCCAGGGGGAAACCCTGGGTTTTTGAAAAGGTTTGCTCCTGGCTGTCTCAAAATATTGATTACTACGACAAAGGGCCCCAAATGCACTAGAAGACAAAAAGAAAGCAGAGTATATAACAGACTTTTCAAAAACCTTCGACAAGTGTACCATGGCGAATGCGCACAAAATGCGTGGGGAAAGGAAAAACAGGAAAAATCGGTCGAGGGGCTATAATTTCCCCACTAACAAAACACAGAGAGTAGTCGTCAACAGAGTAAAGTCCAAGGCAGCATACGTGAAAAGCTCTGTTCCACAAGGCACAGTACTCGCTCCCATCTTGTTCCTCATCCTCATATCCGACATAGACAAGGATGTCAGCCACAGCACCGTGTCTTCCTTTGCAGATGACACCCGAATCTGCATGACAGTGTCTTCCATTGCAGACACTGCAAGGCTCCAGGCGGACATCAACCAAATCTTTCAGTGGGCTGAAGAAAACAATATGAAGTTCAACGATGAGAAATTTCAATTACTCAGATATGGTAAACATGAGGAAATTAAATCTTCATCAGAGTACAAAACAAATTCTGGCCACAAAATAGAGCGAAACACCAACGTCAAAGACCTGGGAGTGATCATGTCGGAGGATCTCACCTTCAAGGACCATAACACTGTATCAATCGCATCTGCTAGAAAAATGACAGGATGGATAATGAGAACCTTCAAAACTAGGGATGCCGAGCCCACGATGACACTCTTCGGGTCGCTTGTTATATCTAGGCTGGAATATTCCTGCACACTAACACCTCCTTTCAAAGCAGGTGAAATTGATGACCTAGAAAATGTACAGAGAACCTTCACGGCGCGCATAACAGAGATAAAACACCTCAATTACTGGGAGGGCTTGAAGTTCCTGAACCTGTACTCCCTGGAATGCAGGAGGGAGAGATACATGATTATATACACCTGGAAAATCCAAGAGGGACTAGTACCGAACTTCCACACGAAAATCACTCACTATGAAAGCGAAAGACTCGGCAGACGATGCAACATCCCCCAATAAAAAGCAGGGGTGTCACTAGCACGTTAAGAGACCATACAATAAGTGTCAAGGGCCCGAGACTGTTCAACTGCCTCCCAGCACACATAAGGGGGATTACCAACAGACCCCTGGCAGTCTTCAAGCTGGCACTGGACAAGCACCTAAAGTCAGTTCCTGATCAGCCGGGCTGTGGCTCGTACGTTGGTTTGCGTGCAGCCAGCAGCAACAGCCTGGTTGATCAGGCTGTGATCCACCAGGAGGCCTGGTCACAGACCGGGCCGCGGGGGCGTTGACCCCCGGAACTCCCTCCAGGTAAACTCCAGGTAATATTTGCCATCTTCCATTCCTCAGGTAGCTGCCCAGTTTCAGTGGATGTGCTGAAGATCTTTGTTAGTGGCACACACAGCATCTCTGCTCCCTCTCTAAGGACCCACAGAGAGATGTCTGGTCCTGCCGCCTTTTGAGGTATCAAGTTCACATACCTTTTTCACCTCCTCCTCGGTTATGTGTACCTCATCCAGCACTTGTTGGTGTACCTCCCTGTTCTGATTTCCTGGAGTCCTACCTGCTTCCACTGTAAATACTTCTTTAAATCTCGTGTTGAGCTCTATACATACCTCTTGGTCGTTTCTTGTGAACTCCCCATCATCCTTCCTCAGTCTGATTACCTGGTCCTTGACTGTTGTTTTCCTCCTGATGTGGCTATACAACAGCTTCGGGTCAGACTTGACTTTCATTGCTGTCATTTTCGTAATGGCGCTGAGCCTTCCTTTTTATCTGTGCATATTCGTTTCTGGCTCTTCGGCTGATCTCTCTATATTCCTGGGACCTTTGTCTTCTATACCTTTCCTACCTTGCCTCCCTACACCTTTGGGTGAACCAAGGACTCGTTCTGGTCTTCCCATTATTTCTTTTTTCCTTGGGAACAAACCTCTCCTCCTTGCATTTTGTTGTCACAGTCCATCATTTCTTTTACTGGGTTTCCTGCCAGTTCTCTCTCCCACTGAACGTCTTGCAGGAAGCTCCTCATGCTTGTGTAGCCCCTACTTTTGTAGTTTGGTTTTTTCCATCCTATTCCTGCTACTCTTTCCAGTTGTAGCTCAACTATGTAGTGTGTGTATGTGCACTTCACACAAGCAGTCTGAACACAACACTGACGTACACAAGCCAGAACCAATATAACACATTTTTTCCCTACTTTGATCTTAGAGACATCAAGGCCACAACTGATCAGTGTCACAGATAATAAGCCACTGAGAAAGTCGTCATATAACCGAGACGTAGTCAGGTGTTTATCCCTGACCGATAAACTTAAAAGAAGCCAGAACAGCTCAAAGCCTCATACCTCAGATACAACACTTTAGTATCAAACACAGCAGCAACAGAATACCTCTAACACTGGTGAGGTAACCAAGGTTGGTGACTTCAACACAGTAGGTAACCAGGATATATGATGTACAAAACACATGTGACTAGGACAGCCCATGTGACACTGATATTGTTACAGGTGACGATGATGGACAGCCTTGTGACAGCTCTGGACGCTGAGTTGGTGGTGGCCGGAGAGACCATGACCAGGGCCCTGGGCAACAGATGCAGGGCTGCACATGCTGTCCTCTCAGATGTTACAAAGGTCTTGCACGCCTACACCACCCACCAACCTGGATGGTGTTATTCTTGAGTTGATTATACTAATACTACTACTGCTGCTAACACTACTACTGTTAGTACTGTTGCTGTACATAATAATAATAATAATAATAATAATAATTAATTATTATTATTATTATTATTATTATTATTATTATTATTATTATTATTATTATTATTATTAAAATAATACATAAGGAGAATATAATAGTTCTGTTATATTTCACTAATACCACCATCGTCAATATTATTATATTGTCTAAAATGTGGGAAACCTCGACACATTCGAAATAATGCCTAGGATACCACAACAGGTGTCCCGTGGCTCAGTTGGCAATGAACTCGCCTCACTCACACTGAGTCTCCATGGTTCAGTCCCTGGTATGAGTGGAAACGTTGGGCACGTTTTCTTACACCCGCTTACACCTGCGTATTAGTCCACTGTTGTGGGTCGCATCCTGGGAGACAAGATTAAAGGATCCCAGTGGAAATAAGAAAGGCAGTCCTCGATGACGCACTGACTTTCTTGGGTTATCCTGGGTGCTTAACCCTTCCCCAGATTAAAAATCCCAACAAATTTTATCTTAATTCTACACTGTATGCAATATAAATAAAAATAAATAACATGACTGAGATGTCTTGAGGTGCAAAATATTTAAACAAAAAACTAATTATTTAGGTTTGTTTCTACTTACATATAGTTAATTAATATTTGTAATACTACTAACACTATCACTACTGTTAATAAATTCCTGACTTGTTAATTAATTAAAGCTGATAAAACCACAAACTTGACAAACTCTGCTAAACAAGCGAACAAGTTCTCACATTATTTTAAAAATACTGCATACTATACAAATATTAGTGCCGGAAAAAAAAAGTCTCCCCCAGTACCACCAATCCGACGACATTCTTCTTTGCAAGTATACAGGGTCTAAAGCCAGCAACGAACAACAAAATACCTTTCACTCGTGGACTGCTTGCAGAGGCAAATGCAATGTTCGCGGGTTTCACAGAGACCCACATAAAGGATCACTTGGACAACGAAATATGGATCCCAGGTTACAACAGATGCGACAGAGTGAACAGGCAAAGGGGGGGGGGGTTGGCCTGTATATCGCAGAGTCACTTATTTGCACAGAACTGCTTAATGCTTCAAATGATGTAGTGGAAGTTTTAGCAGTAAAGATCGAGAACCAAAATCTAGTCATTGTGGTAACCTACAAGCCTCCGGATGCAACATCCCAACAATTCCAGGAGCAGGTGTTGAAAATTGACCACTGTCTGGAAAATCTTCCAGCTCCTGCCCCCAACATCTTGCTCCTGGGGGATTTCAACTTAAGGCACCTAAAATGGAGGAATATAGCAAATAATGTTGCTGTAGTGTTAACATCAGGAGGCAGCTCAGACGAGAACTCACACACACATGAGCTTTTAAATCTCTGCACAAAATTCAGCTTAAACCAACAAATAATATAGCCTACTAGACTGGAGAATGCACTGGACCTCATCTTCACTAATAATGATGATCTGATACGAAATGTCACCATATCAAAAACAATATAGTACTCGGATCACAACATAATCGAGGTTCAGACATGTATGTGCGGAGCCCCAGACCAACAAAATGAGATCAGTCACGAGGGAGCCTTCACCAAATTCAACTTCAATAATAAGAACATAAAGTGGGACCATGTAAACCAAGTCCTAACCGATATAAGCTGGAAAGATATACTAAGCAAAACAGACCCCAACTTATGCTTAGAACAGATTAACTCCGTGGCACTCGATGTATGCTCAAGGCATATTCCTTTAAGAAAGAGGAGGAGTAGATGTAAAATAGAAAGAGACAGACGTTCCCTTTACAGGCGACGAAAAAGAATAACAGAGCGGCTAAAAGAGGCCAATATATCTGAAATGCGTAGGGAGACACTGATCAGAGAAATACCAAACATCGAACTAAAGGTAAAGGAATGTTATAGGAATCAGGAATTGCGGGAAAACTAAGTCATAAATGAAATTGAAAGAAACCCAAAGTATTTCTTTTCTTATGCCAAATCAAAGTCGAGAACAACATTCCAGATGACAGCAAGGAAATGAGTGAGCTACTCAAGTCCCAACATGACTCAGCTTCTAGCAAGCCACTAACCAGACTGAGAGTCTAGGATCTAAACGAATTTTTTATGAGAGAGCCAAAGGATTTGGTAAACACAAGCCTATCTGATGTTATCCTGACGCCAAATGACTTCGAACAGGCGATAAATGACATGCCCATCCACTCTGCCCCAGGACCAGACTCATGGAACTCCGTGTTCATCAAGAACTGCAAGAAGCCCCTATCATGTGCTTTTAACATCCTATGGAGAGGGAGCATGGACACTGGGGTCGTCCCACAGTTACTAAAAACAACAGACATAGTCCTACTCCACAAAGGGGGAAGTAAAGCAATAGCGAAGAACTACAGACCGATAGCATTAACATCCCATATCATAAAAATCTTTGAAAGGGTCCTAAGAAGCAAGATCATCACCCATCTAGATACCCATCAATTACACAACCCAGGGCAACATGGGTTTCGAGCAGGTCGCTCCTGTCTGTCTCAACTACTGGATCACTACGACAAGGTCCTAGATGCACTAGAAGACAAAAAGAATGCAGATGTAATATACACAGACTTTGCAAAAGCCTTCGACAAGTGTGACCATGGCATAATAGCGCACAAAATGCGTGCTAAAGGAATAACAGGAAAACTTGGCAGATGGATCTATAATTTCCTCAAAAACAGAACACAAAGAGTAGTAGTCAACAGAGTAAAGTCTGAGGTGGCTACGGTGAAAAGCTCTGTACCGCAAGGCACATTACTTGCTCCCATCTTGTTTCTCATCCTCATATCCGACATGGACAAGGATGTCAGCCACAGCACCGTGTCTTCCTTTGCAGATAACACCCGAATCTGCATGACAGTGTCTTCCATTGCAGACACTGCAAGGCTCTAAGCGGACATCAACCAAATCTTGCAGTGGGCTGCAGAAAACAATGTGAAGTTCAACGATGAGAAATTTAAATTATTCCAATATGGTAAATATAAGGAAATTAAAATTTCATCAGAGTATAAAACAAATTTCAGCCACAAAATAGAGCGAAAAACTAACGTCAAAGAGCTGTGAGTGATCATGTCGGAGGATCTCACCTTCAAGGACCATAACATTGTATCAATCGCATCTGCTAGAAAAATGACAGGATGGATAATGAGAACCTTCAAAACTAGGGATGCCGAGCCCACGATGACACTCTTCGGGTCGCTTGTTATATCTAGGCTGGAATATTCCTGCACACTAACACCTCCTTTCAAAGCAGGTGAAATTGATGACCTAGAAAATGTACAGATAACCTTCACGGCACTCATAACAGAGATAAAACACCTCAATTACTGGGAGGGCTTGAAGTTCCTGAACCTGTATCCCTGGAATGCAGGAGGGAGAGATACATGATTATATACACCTGGAAAATCCAAGAGGAACTAGTACCGAACTTGCACACGAAAATCACTCACTACGAAAGCGAAAGTCTCGGCAGACGATGCAACATCCCCCAATAAAAAGCAGGGGTGTCACTAGCACGTGAAGAGACAACAAAATAAGTGTCAGGGGGCCAAGACTGTTCAACTGCCTCCCAGCATACCTAAGGGGGATTACCAATAGACCCCTGGCTGTCTTCAAGCAAGCACTGGACAAGCACCTAAAGTGTAGCCAGCAGTAACAGCCTGGTTGATCAGGCTCTGATCTACCATGATATAAAAAGGATTATTTGGTGTTCTGGTAGCGGGGAGTAAATGATATATCTTCTTCGGAGGCTTCTTACTTTATTGTTAAACCGTGGTGGGTACACAGGCTTGTGTGTTTGTGCCCATGGCCTGGGCAGGGCCGTCCCACGAGAGAGAGCTGGGAGGCCTTGTGTCTTCCTGCTAGGCCGCTGTGTGAGTGAGAGAGAGGCAAGTCTGGGCATACTGAAGTGGCAAGGCCCATAGGTGGCAGCACCAGCATGGCGCAAAATATGAACTAAGCTGGCAGACAGCATGGGCTGTCTCTGCAGACAATACAGGCTGTCTACATACGCTCGGCCACCTACCGCGCGTCGTCCCGACACAACAATACTGGTGGTAAAAGGAACTCGGTCTCTCTCGTAGGAACAGGGCACAGAACACAAAATAAAAACATATACATACATATGAACATGGAAAAAAAACTTCCTACAGGGAGGGAAGAAAAAAACATGTGGGTGTGCTAAACATCGTGGTCAAAGGCAGTGAGCATCGAAGGGCATCACTGCATGCCTTCCTGCATCTGGACAGATACTGCAACACAGGAGACATCGCTGCGGCTGAGCTGTGACGTAACAGGTTACGGTCTCCTCTGGAACGGTGAAGCAGTCAACGTAGGAGTCGCTGCAGGTTTTCACTCAACCTGGGGCACGACATGCTGGTGCCCTCGAGTGAGGCGTCGACAAAACTCGGAAACTGGGCAGGGCTTCTGGCAAGCGACTCAGGAGGACACTTCTCGACTGGTACTGTCGCTGGGCTGTCACTGCCGGCGAGCGTGGAGTTGTGGAGCGAGTCGTGGCAGAGACGACTGGGCGAAACATCAGGGAGTCGTAACATCATACACCAGACTGCAGTGAGAGAGCTAGCAGTCAAAGTGACATCTTCTTTGTGCAGGCTGCTCACTGAAGCTTGTGACACGAGGCTGACACGGTGTGTCATTCTCTCAACAGTTGGAGTTATAGCAGAGGTTAGTCTAAGCATCCCCAGACTTGTTTCTCTACATATAACTGTACTCTGAAGGTCTGGAGGTGAAGTGAAACAAATCTCGATGGGAATCGTAGCAGGTACGATTCTGCAGAACATCACGAGCGACAAGCATAAAAGTTTCCTGTACAAGGGGGCTCGGGCTCAGGGCTGTCTGATAGCTGTCAAACACACTGGTCACACGGGTGACTTAGCACAGTGGTGCTACTCAGGTCTGGCTCAGACCTCACTAGACACACAGAAACTTTACACACCCACGGTACACTAACATGTGAGAACACTGACTGAGAGGAATTAATTAACACACGACATATATTTTCTCTCAATCTTCTCGACAATACTGAAATAATTACTAGAAACACTCGATGTGACATCATGTGATGTCAGGCGTGATGTCACGAGGTGATGTCAGCAGCACTGTGGCGTCAGCAGACATCTCGAGGTGACGTCAGGCAGACATCGTGACATCATGAAGTCGGGCAGCAGCATCGGTGATGTTGTGAAGTCGGGCAGCATCGTCGGTGACGTTAATGTGATGCGGGCAGCAGACCACAGCATGAAGCCTGGGCCATCTGGTAACTCACGTGGCTGGTAGATCCACGTGACATCGCCCACACCCAACGTGGCGTCGTGATCCACGTGGCGTCGTGATCTACGTGGCATGCCGATCCATGTAGCTTCGAGTGGCCTCGGGCACTCGGATACACAGCACTGGCGACGAATTCACACGTAAAACAGCAGAAAACACAGCAGAGGGAGTGAGCAGTGGTGAGTGTATGGTAGACGGGTGAGCATGAGTAGGGCGAGCATGGGCAAGGTGAGGAATAGCCACTTCCTCTCCTCCTCCCCCACCCACAGACATGTGGAGAACTCACACTGGACGCAGAAATCACTACAAAACTCACCTCTGGCTTGCTGAAACAGCTGTGCTGAGCTGAACAACAACAGCAACATACAAGTGACACTGAACACGTGACTTGAGAAACAGCGTGGGACGCTGTAGCGTGGGGTCACTTACAATTCTCGGAGAATTTCGGCAAATTTCGGCTGGATCCTGCTTGTACCTGTGTCTGGGTGCTCAAATGTGCAGACACGACATCAGGATAACTCGTTGAGAGACGGATGCTTGTTGTGTAGGGTGATGAAGTGAAGATGACTTCATTCCTCTCCTTCCTCTCTCCAGGCAAACACACTGCTGCGACCACCGCTGCTACCAATGTTTAATGAAATTATTTGGTGTTCTGGTAGCGGGGAGTAAATGATATATCTTCTTCAGAGGCTTCTTACTTTATTGTTAAGTCGTGGTGGGTACACAGGCTTGTGTGTTTGTGCCCATGGCCCGGGCAGGGCCATCCCACGAGAGAGAGCTGGGAGGCCTTGTGTCTTCCTCCTAGGCTGCTGTGTGAGTGAGAGAGAGGCAAGTCTGGGCATACTGAAGTGGCAAGGCCCATAGGTGGCAGCACCAGCATGGCACGAAATATGAACTAAGCTGGCAGACAGAATGGGCTGTCTCTGCAGACAGTACAGGCTGTCTACAATGAGGCCTGTTCACAGCCCGGGCCGCCGGGGTGTTGACCACCGGAACTCTCTCCAGGTAAACTCCAGGTATAGTTTTATTTCTGTAGAGCACTCAGTCCATGAGAGTCGTTCACCACACGGAGTGGAGGCTCGACCCTCCGTATGCTAAGCGTGAGAAAGATCCTACCTTATTTTACTTATCTAGTTTGCATCCATTTTTGTCAAGTGTGGTACTGTAGGAGAAGAATAATCATTCTATTTTTAGGAACAACTTTTAAAAACTGCTCAACATAATTTCATATATGGTTCAATAAAATCATCAGAAATAGATGCTATGTTAATATTCAGTATAACCACAGTAGGGGAGGCGCCAAGACCGGGGAAGTCTTCAGACCCTTAAAATTCCCTCAGCCCCCCCCTCATGCCCCAAACCGAAATAATAATAATAACGCTGCTTTAAGTCTCCTAGTCCCTTTCCCCTTCCATCCAGTTAGCCACCCCCTAAGCCCCCAGTTTAGAAATTCTGGTGCCGCCCCTGAATAGTCCTTAATAATGTGAGATATGACGAAAGTGTTTGGAATAACAGTACTTTATATTGTGGTTTCACATACAGTGTATTAAAATTAGACATTTTTTGTGTTGCAATAAAATATTTTTACTTTGACTTTTTTTAAGAAAAGTCAGAACACCGTGGCTGAAACGACTCGCCAACAAGCCACACTTTAGAGAGAAAACTTGACCCATTACCAGGTGGCCCATACTAACCTGCGCCTCTTTCCCACCTTGCAGGGTCCAGCCGACTCTGACCGTCTCAACAGCAAGGCCAGTCCCTTCATCTACGGCGGCGTGCCCAACCACGGCTACTGAAGCCCACGCTGTTTCCCCGGGGCACCTGCAAACCAACAGCAGCACTTACGCACATCGAAGGGTGGCTGTAGACCAACAGGAGCACCCATACACATACAGGGACTGCTGTAGGCCAACAGGAACACCTATATACATCCAGGGGCTGCTGCAGGCCAGCAAGAATATCTATATACATCACGGAGCCGCTGAAGGCCAGCAGGAGGTCCTGCTTATGTATACACAACCAGGACCAGTTGCGGGCCAACATCTCTGGGTAGCTGCAGGACAATAGCACCTATACTTATCCAGGGTCAGCTGCTGATCAACACGAGGATCTACACATATTCCTTCAATCTCGATTGACTTCTAGATATTGCGAAGACGTATGGATGTTATTTAATTTGAAGCTGCAGAGACGATACCAAACTCTCCTGACTCGAGGACAACTTTATCTTTTACCTTCGACAACCCCGGAATTTTGAGTCATTTCTACTGCTGCTTTTATTATTTTAGTCCTCATGAAAGTGTGGTTTGTACACCTCCTCTTCATAGACGGCCACAGTGTTCTTGGTAGATAATATTATTTTTCTGATGATGCATCTCTCTCTTCTTCATTCAACAACAGAGCACGATGTGGTCTCGTTTTTTTTCTATTTTAGTTATGTAGAATCAATTACTTGTGTTTTAATCTTGAGTCCTTCATGAAGCCTCTACGAGGATATCATTGATATTACAGATGATAATTTTTGCTTTTTTGGTCCCGATGTTTTAGTATAATTTTTTATCTTCGTTTTAGATAACTAATAACAGAACACCCGTGATTCTCTACGTACTGTAGGATTCAGCATCATCCTTTTTCTACACTGGGTAGAATAAGATAATTTAATCTTCTGCAGAATATCAATAGTAAAATTTGCTGACTGCCAAAGCTTTCCGAGAGCTGAGTGAAATTGTAGACTTTCATGTCTGGTATTCAAATTCAAATTCAAATTCAAAGTTTATTCTCTATAAGGATTACAATGCTGGGTTTACAGAATTTGGTTATTGTGTGGTTTACTTTGGTAAAATACTAATTACAGAGGGTGCCACTAGAACACCTAGCATGGCTAGGCATTTCGGGCAGACTTAGATTAATTCTTAAATTTAAAATATTACAAAGCTTATGTCACACTAACTGTATTTGTTAAGCCTGTCCTGTAAAGTAAAGACAGGCAGATTGTTTTGTACAGCCGCTAAGTAACTTTGACTTAACATCACCACAAAATATTAAATATTCCGGAATTTAGGTAAAAAATCGAATAACACTTTTAATATTTTGTTCAAATAGAGAATCACATCCACCAGTCATCGCATTTTCTGTAAAAATCAGGATACAATTTCATCAATATATTTTCAATATATTTTCGTTGAAGAAACATGATCAAAATTGACGCTTATTATGAATACTTTTAATTTAAATATAGCATTGTGCTTTCCTCCTGACACGGAATAAACAGTAAAAGAAAAGCTGAAAATGTTCAGAATGACGAGATCGGCGCCAGCTCCCAGGGCCAGAGAAGGCTTGACGTCACAACCATGACCAGGCTTGAATAATACAAGAAGCTTCTAATAGGCTAGATGATTCGTGGGCGGTAGAGTGGGCAGGCTGGCAGGCTGGCAGGCTGGCAGGCTGGCAGGCGGGTGGACGGGTTTTAGAGTGGGTGCATAAGCTGCAGCTTGACAGTAGGAGTCTGCTGTCAAGCTGTCCTCAGATAGTCTTTCGTAGATAATGTTAACTAATGAGATTATTCTCACAGCGTGTGTTATTGTAAATTATTTTGTATTATTGTAGATGATCATGTATCATTGTGGATTATTATGTATCCCTGGCGGCACCTGTCCTTTACCTTTCTTCTCACCCACCTTCCTCCCCTTTACCACATTATTTCATATTCTTCTTCTTCCATGTTATACTTCACTTAAGTTTGCAAAATCAAATAATTAATATTTTTAAGTTTTAATTGTTTTTCCTACCTCCCCCTTTCTCCACCTCTGACTGGTTTCGTTTCTGATTTTTCAGATTCGCTGGTTATCCACGTTCTAAACAAGAACATTTGAACTTCTGACCTTTGTTGTCCCCACACAGTTGCTTGTAATAATTTATTGTGCATATCACTGCCTAACGAAAAGGTGTCTGTGCGTGCGCGAGCGAGCGTGTGAGTGTGTGTGTGTGTGTGTGTGTGTGTGTGTGTGTGTGTGTGTGTGTGTGTGTGTGTGTGTGTGCGTGTGCGTGTGTGTGTGTGTGTGTGTACTCACCTATTTGTGGCTGCAGGGGTCGAGACATAGCTCCTGGCCCAGGTATATGTGTGTGTGTGTGTGTGTGTGTGTGTGTGTGTGTGTGTGTGTGCGTGCTCAATCATTTCAACTAGTTACTCACACATTGATGGTTAGTGAGGTGGTCTCAGCTTTTGGAGCCGCTATTCAAATCCAGTACATAAACCAGTTACACTGATTCCTTGGTAATCCTGAGGATGAAAAAGTTTTCTTACTGTCCCGCTTGTAGTTCATATAGCCTCCCAGTGCCCGATATCTTCCTTTCAGTCTCTCCTTGTCTCCTCTATCAGCTCTGTGAGTATATTGCACGTTATTGCGTCTGTCCCCTGGTTCTTTTATCACCTAGTCTTCAGGATCAGTTCTTTTAGCTCTCGTTGGTTAGACCTTCCAGCTAATATATAACAAAATATCAGTTTTTAAAGGAGGACTGGTTAGCCAGCGGAAGGCCTAGGTCAAATGACCAAAAGCTCTAGTGGCGGGTAATCATATGACTCTGACCCGCATCAGGAAACACCTGTCCTGTTTCTTGACGAATCTTACCAAACCTAATCTAACCTCTCAGTGTCAGGAGCTGTTTCGTTACAAAACTCTGGCCATTCTTTAGCTTTATTACATGCTAGATGAGGTGGAGGCTCCAGGAGTTATGTAACCTATCACATGTCTGACACATTTCGTTGTGACTGACTATGTTAAGAGGTTCGTCAATATAGTTCTTACAGTTGCTAGGCGCACACACTTCCAAAGCTGTTCGACTGTGTAGGTGTGGGTATGTACTGGTTTAGATTGTGAAAGTCGAATCGTAGCTCCTGACCTGGTCCCACCTCTTAACCACTAACAATCAGTTTCACTGATTCCTGACTTCTGGGACACTATCATACCTACACTAGGAACCACTTAGTGTTTCCCTCCATCACACTTTAACCACTTCGCCCTACTGACTCACCACCCCAAGACTAAACAAAAGTGTTTTCTAACGTACCTGTGGCTTATCTGTGCGTATGGTTACAATTTTCTTTTCTGGGATTAATAGTTTTTCTTAGTTTTATACACTTTTACCTTAGCTTCTTCCAAGATTTCTATCACTGCTCTGTTGTTGTTCTCTTGTCTTTGGCCTTCCAGTATTGACGATGGAATATAAATGATTTATTATTACTGCATAGTCTGTGAACTCTCCACTGCAAAGATTTGTCATTCAAGATTTCACTTATCTTACTATATGATACCTCTGAGTGAATATTCCATTTGGTATAAGTTCTGAGAGTTTTGCATCGTCTGTGACTATTAGATTCCATTTCCAGTATTCTCTCCTACCCATTTTTAAAAGGAAACGCCTACTGCGAGAGATTCATATCTGAGTTAGCGCAAGGAGGATCGAGTAGCCAGTTCTCCAACCACATGAGTTTTGCACGTTACCCGACTATAATAATAATAAAAATATAAATAATAATAATATCTCATACTTTTCAGCTCTTGTTTTCAGTGACATTTGTGTTTGTGTAACATAACTTTAATGTTCTTTCACTGATCTCTTACTGTGTCATCTGGCTAGTGTGTGTGGCATAAGACTGTCTGTCTTGGGTGCGTGGAGGTTGTATGAGAATCGTGAGGGGTCCTGTTTTCTAGGGTGAAAGGGTAAGGTAGGTGTTTAGTAGCAGGGGTGTGGGGGTATGGGAGTGCCTCCTAGGAGTCTTTGAACTTGAGTATCATGACGAGGCTTTGGTTGGGGAGGGCAGATCGGTGGAGAGAGTTTGTGTGGAGGAGAGAGGATGGAGATAGAGTTATTTGTTAGGTATTGTGAGTAAGATTATCCTGGGTGCGGTTAAGGAAGGCGTTAGTAGAGGCCAAAGGTGTGTGTGAATTGTCAAGACGGGACAGCAGAAATTAAATGCGTTTCTGGTTTCCTACTTTGCAAGGCAGTTTGTATAGCTCATCTGCGTGCATAGCGGGGCTTCGACATGCATAGTAGGGAATCTGCGGGCATAGTAGGGCGTCTGCCTGCATAGTGGAGCATGTGCATGCATAGAAGGGTGTCTGCGTGTATAGCGGAGCATCTGCGTGCATAATACGGCGTCTATGTTCATAGGAATGTCTGAGTGTGCCGGCTCGTAATAATTATCAACTACTGCATATGTTCTCATCAATATGTGGTTACAGGGCTCTCAGCTCCTGGCCTCTCCTCTTCGCTGGCCGCTGCTGGGTTCACTCAGTGCATCTCTGAGCAGGAACAGAGTGCTGTTTACGTTTCAACTTAATGAAATACATACATATATAAAAATGCTTTAACTTTAGACTGTAAGGCTTTATTGTGTACCTGAGTTGTTTGTTGGTGTTAGTCTCCATTATGTGTTGTTGCAAGTCTCTTTGTTATATATTGCAAGTTTGTTCTTGCTTCAAACAGGTATAAGAAGCAATCTAGAGACAAGTCAGGCTACTTCAGGTTGAATATTTACCAGGTTTTCAAGATGCTAAAATATTATAAAAGTGGATGGTGTGGCATTTATACTTTATTGTGTTCGCTGACATTCCATGTCTTTATTTATCCTTATTTATTAAGCTTTGTTTACTGTTTTAATATTGTTTGATGTAACCTATTTAAATATGTATTGTTATAGCCATTGTAACATTATTAACTGTGGTAATGTCTTCTAGTGTTGATGTCTCTCGGTGGAGCTGATGTCTTCCAGTGATGGTGATGTCTCTCAGTGGAGCTGATATCTTCCAGTGTTGGTGATGTCTCTCAGTGGTGCTGATATCTTCCTGTGATGGTGATGTCTCTCAGTGGTGCTGATGTCTTCCAGTGTTCGTCATGTCTCTGTGTTGATGTCTTCCTTTGATGGTGATGTCTCTCAGTGGTGCTGATGTCTTTCAGTGGTGCTGATGTCTTTCAGTGGTGCTGATATCTCTCAGTGTTGATGATGTCTCCCAGTGATGGTGTTGTCTCTCAGTGGTGCTGTTTTCCAGTGGTGATGTCTCTGTGGTGCTGATGTCTTCCAGTGATCGAGATGTCTCTCAGTGGTGCTGATGTCTTCCAGTGATGGTGATGTCTCTCAGTGGTGCTGCTCTCTCAATGGTACTGATATCCTCCAGTGATGATGTCTCTCACTGGTGCTGATGTCTTCCAGTGATCGAGATGTCTCTCAGTGGTGCTGATGTCTTCCAGTGATGGTGATGTCTCTCATTGGTGCTGATGTCTTCCAGTGATGGTGAAGTCTCTCAGCGATGCTGATGTCTTCCAGTGTTGATGATGTCTCTCAGTGGTGATGTCTCCCTGTGGTGCTAATGTCTTCCAGCGTTGATGATGTCGCTCAGTGGTGATGTCTCTAAGTGGTGCTCATGTCTTCCAGTGATGGCAATATTTCTCAGTGGTGCTGATATCTTTCAGTGTTGATGATGTCTATCAGTGGTGCTGATGTCTTTCAATGTTGAAGATGTCTCTCAATGGTGCCGATGTCTTCCTGTGATGGTGATGTCTCTCAGTGTTGATAATGTCTCCCAGTAATGCTGATGTCTTCCAGTGTTGATGAGGGCTTTAAGTGATGATGTTTTCCTGGGGTGATGTCTTTCCTCTGGTGGTGATGTCTTCCTCTAGCGGTGATGTCTGCCTCTGGTGTTGATATCTTCCTCCAGCAGTAATGTCCTCCTCAGGTCGTAACATCATAAATCTGTAATATCTGGGTGAAACTAGTGACGTAATATTGTTGTAACGGCTACACAATACTGACGTCATCTTCGTATTATGAAACTATGTAAAGTACAACCACAGCCACCACACATAACATCACCACCACACATAACATCACCACCACACATAACATCAACACCACACATAACATCACCACACATAACATCACCACCACACATAACATCACCACACATAGCATCAACACCACACATAACATCACCATCACACAAAACATCACCACATATATCACCACCCACACATAACATCAACACTACACATAACATCAACACTACACATAACATCAACGCCACACATAACATCGCCACACATAACATCAACACCACAAATAACATCAACACCACACATAACATCACCACCACACATAACATCACACCACACATAACATCACCACACATAACATCACCACCACACATAACATCAACACCACACATAACATCACCACCACACATAACATCGCCACACATGACATCACCACCACCATAACATCACCACCATGCATAACATCACCACCACACATAACATCAACACACATGTAACATCAACACACACATAACATCACCACCACAACATAACATCACCACCACACATAATATCACACTACACATAACATCAACACCACACACATCACCACCACATAACATCACCACACATAACATCAACACCACAAACTTCACCACCATACTGCTACATAACCAACACTCACCACACACAAAGAACAACACACACATCACCATCATACCGCAACATAACCCAACACTCACCCACACACAAACAACACCACACACATCACCATCATACCGCTACATAACCCAACACTCACCACACACACACATCACCATCATACGCTACATAACCAACACTTACCACACACAAACAACAACACAATCACAACCAAACACAAGCAACATACACACACACACACACACACACACACCACACAGTGGATTAACAAACTCAACGTATAGAGGCTTTATGAGTGCTAGCAATTAATGCATTTACTGACTTACCTCTGTGTTGTATTGATGCGGTAGCTAATATGCACATTTTGTACTGTTTATATAAATAAACGAATTAATGAATAAACTTCAGTTATTTTCCTTACATTCTCTAATATAATAATAATTATAATAAAATTATAAAATTATATATATATATATATATATATATATATATATATATATATATATATATATTTATATATATATATAATATATATATATATATATATATATATATATATATATATGTAAGTAGTGCTGAAGGCGGCTCAACGGTCTCTGCGGTTGAGTGGCTCTTCCTGAGCGGTCTCTTCCTGAGCTGTCTCCTCCCGAAAGGGCTGCTGCGGCTGAGCGGTCTCCTTTTCACACCATTATGCTAATGACCTTGACCTCACCCATGACCCCACCCACGACCCCACCCGCGACCCCACCCACGTCCCCCACTACGACCCCCACCCACGACCCCACACTCGACCACCACGACCCCCACCCACGACCCCCACCCATGACCACACCCACGACCCCCACCACAAACCCCACCCACGACCCCCACCATGATCCCACCACGACCCTCCACCCACGACCCCCTCCGACGACCCCCAATAATGACCCCACCCACGACCCTCACCACGACCGCCCCACCCACGACCCCCACCCACGACCCCACCCTCGACCACCTCTCCCTCAACCCACGACCCCCCACCCACGACCACACCCACGACCCCACCCACGACCCCACCCTCGAACCCACCCTCGACCCCGACCATCCACGCTGCTCGACCGGGGCCCACCTGCGCCGAACTCGCGCCCTCCCCACGCCTGCCCTTGCGCCTTCTGCAGCGTCGTCCGGATCGCCCCCACCCCACGAATTTTTTTTCCGATTTTTTTTTCGAATTTCATTTTCTTATGTTCTACATCTCCTCGGATCAAATTTTTCTCGAAATCAATAATACCAAGACTCCACTTCCTCAGATCAAGTTTTTTGGATTCCCCCTATGGGGTTTCGAAATTCTTATGATCTCCTCGGATCAAGTTTTTCTTGATATAAATAATACAAAGATTTTCCCCACACACCACCCCATCCCAAAATTTCTGCTTCCACTCCTTGGATCAAGTTTTTCTCGATAATACAAAGACTCCACTTCCTTGGATCAAATTTTTCTCGATATCAATAATACAAAGACTCCACTTCCTCGGATCAAGTTTTTTGGATTCCTACCTATGGGGTTTCGAATTTCTTATGATCTCCTTGGATCAAGTTTTTCTCGATATCAATAATAATACAAAGATTTCCCCCATCATCCAATTCTACCCCAAAATTTCTGCTCCAACTCCTTGGATCAAGTTTTTTTTTTTAATCCCCCCTCTGGGGGTATGCATTCAAAATGGGCTCCCACTGGATTTCCCCCTCTGGGGGTAAGCATTCAAAATGGAATCCCACTTCCACCCCAAATATTCCTGCTCTACTTCCTCGGATCAAGTTTTTCTTGATATCAAATAATACAAAGACTCCGTCTCTTTGGATCAAGTTTTTTTGGATTCCTCCCTCTGGGGGTAAGCATTCAAATGAACTCCCCCTATGGGGCATGGTACTTTCTCTTACTACAGGTCTAAACAAGTGTGACGTCACCCCACCTGTGTTTACTCGGTGGTCAGTGACATCACGTGATGACCTCACACACACAGGCTGAATCTTGTCGACTTCCCCCTATGTCAGTGATGTCACGCGATGACCACACCCACACAGGCTGAATCTTGTCGAGCAGTCAATAAAATGCAAGATAACACTAATACACAATATTTTCATTTATTTATTATACATCCAATGCATTTCATATACATCCAACAAAAAAATTCATTGAAAAAAAGGCACAATTCATTGACTAAAATCAACATATTTTTCGCTTGAAGAAATTCTGTGCATTTTGTTCTGGATCTTCTTCGTCATCACAATCTCTGTATTACACATTTCATATACAACATAGGGAAAACATTACACATTTTCACTCTTAACCCAGGATAACCCAAATAATTTCACATTTTTTTCGTTAATACCCACAACAATCCACAATTTCTTTACAAAATACAACACAAGTCTAGACATTTTTCTCGTTTTAACTATTTCATCAGAAAAAAGTCACCGCAACACTTACAACTTATAACCACTTTTCGATAAATTCACTAGTCACAATTTTACATATTACGAAGTTAATACGCACACACACACACACACACACCTACCTCACTTTGAACACCTTCAAAACACTCTCATAAATCATTTGAATACTCACAAAAGCACCTTTGAACATTTCCAAACAACACTAAAACATTTCCAAGACAACATTTTGAATACTCCCAAATAAGATTTGACATCTCTAATTTATCTACACTTACATATTTCATTAAATTACAACTCATCCCCCAAAACTACTCCCTCATTCTCCAGATTTTTACAACAGTATCACAAAAACTAACTCAGACACTTTGCTTTGAACAACACCTAAAACACCATCATTTACCTTTGAATACTCCAAAAACATCATTCGAACACCCCCAAATCACTACTGAATACTCCCAGAACACCTTCATAAATACTCTTGCACATCATTTGAGCACCTTCAAAAACACCTTTGAATAGTCTCAAACACCATTTGAGTACTCCCAAATACACCACTGAATACTACCAAAACAGCACTGAATACTGCCCAAACACCACCAAAATCACCATAAACTAAGATCAACATCACAGACTAACACCCATTTTCACACAAATACTCTTAAATCACTATAACCAAGACGATCCCACTCACCTCCAACTAAGATATAACATGAGTGGAAAAAAAACATGAACACAATCCAAACACACACGAACACTCACAACCCACAACACCCACAACAACAACCCACTTATAACATCTCTTTTTCGGTATCTCTAGTTAGACAACAACGCCCACAACCCACAACACCCACATCCCACAACACCCACAACCCACATTTTTTTCTCGTTTTAACTAATTTCATCAGAAAAAGTCACAACAACAACCCACAACTTATAACCACTTTTTCGATATCTCTAGTTCGACAACAATACCCACAACCCTCATCACTTACCAATTTATTCACAATTTATTCGATACAAATTTTCCCCTTCTTTTTATTAAATCTTAAAATGTAATGCACATTCCTCCCTACATTACTAAAATTCTAATAAAGTCCTCTCCATACCCATCTCCATGTATCCACATAAAATTAATATTATACTCACAACAAGTAATCTCACTACCCAACTACTGCGGCATGTTTCTACACCCTCCAATCTTTTCCAATGTATAATAACTTTTCACTTCTATAATTTCTTTTATAATATTCACACATCTCCTTTATTTTCAGTAAAATCCCCCCATATTTCATTAAATTTCTAATTACAACCCTCTCCATACCCCTCTCCACTCACCCACATTTCTTCACATCCACTCACCCATCTCCCAACACACCTCTTCAGAACAAACACAAAAAATCACATTTCACATCCACAAATGCATCTCATCACCCATCTCAAATCCACTAAAATCACTGTAACCAAGTTAGTCACAAAATTCTATGACCACCTAACACACAGAGACAGCTCACTTTACTTTGAACACTACCAAAAACACCATCAATTACCATTGAATACTCCAAAAACATCATTCAAACACCCCCAAATCACCACTGAGTACTCCCAGAACACCTTCAAAAATACTCTTGCACATCATTTGAACACCATCAAAAACATCATCAAACCCATTTGAATACTCCCAAATACACCAGTGAATTCAGTCAAAACACCACCAAAATCACCATAAACTAAGATCAACATTTACATATGAATACTCCAAAAACATCAGCAAACTCCTTTGAATACCACCAAAACACCACTGAATACTGCCCAAACTCTACTAAAAATCACCAGAAACTAAGATCAACACACCAACTAACACCATTTTATAGAAATCCCCTCAAATCACTATAACAAGACAATCCCACTCACCTCAGACTATTATATAACATGAAATGCAAAAAAAAAAAAAAAAACATTCTCATAAATCATTTGAATACTCACAAAAAAACACCTTTGAACATTTCCAAACAACACCGAAACACTTACAGCAGGATCCCCACCAACTGAAAACATAACATGTAAACACACACACAAAAAAAACTATGACATCCATCAACTATCATCAATGACCACTCATTTTTACAAACATTCGCACAAAAAATCACATTCAGGAAAAATCTTCAAACCCCTATTTGAATACTCCCAAAACACCACTGAATACTACAAAACAGCACCGAATACTGCCCAAACAACACTAAAAAATCACCAGAAACTAAGATCAACACTACCAACTAACACCCATTTTATAGAAATCCCCTCAAATCACTATAACCAAGACGATCCACTCACCTCAGACTATTATATAACATGAGCGCAAAAAAAAAAAAAAAAAAAAACATTCTCATAAATCATTTGAATACT